AACTATATATGGGTGTTGTATAGGTTTTTGTAAGGTGTTCTTTGGTGAATTGATAAAGCATATCATGTTTTGGTAATGGTAATGGGAGGGGTACTATTGCTATCGGATTATGAACTACCGATGGACTCCGATTTGGCAAGCACAAATGGAAATATTTGTTCATCAAATAAGACATTGCATGAGATATGATATTTTTTTATAGATAAATCATAACACGAGTAACCTTTAGATGTTTTGCTATATTCTAAAAAATACATGCAAAAGACCAAGGTGCTAATTTATGTCTAGTATATGGTCTTAACCATAGATGACATAAGCAACCAAAATTTTTAGCTCATCATAAGGAGGATCTGTTTCCAAAAAGGGTGGAATAAGGGGAATGATTTTGTAGTTTGCGTGTGGCAAGACGATTGATGGTGTTGATGGGCTGCTGAAAAAGCATAGGTCCAAAATTGTAATTAGACAAATGCATGGGTAAGAAGGGCTAGGCTCGTTTCAACTACATGATGATGTTTTCTCTCTACATAGCCATTTGTTCCGGTGTTTTAGGACGAGTAATTCGTTGGGAGATTCCATTGTCATTGAGGTATTTGGTTAGCGCTTAATATTCTCCTCCATAGTCAAACTGAAATTGTTTTATAAGTTTGTCAAAAAAATTTTCAATAGTGTATTTGAACTTCATAAAACAGTTTAAAACCTCGGATTTATGGCAAAGAAAGAATATCCAATAGTATTTACTATAATGGTCATAAAATAGAACATAATATGAGTAGCCATCTATAGAAAAAACAGGAGAGAGTCCCTAGAGGTTAGAACATCTTAACTCCAACGAAACTTTGGTCTTATAAGTAGATAATAAAAAATGAATTTATGAATTTTACTAATAGAGCAAACATGACATAATGAATGAACGATTGACAAAAGAACATTAAATTTAGAATTTTTCAAAGCTTGATGAACGAGTTTTGATTGAGGCATGCCCAAGACGAACATGCCAAGTTTGTAAAGTTGCACTATGAGCTTAAATGGAAGATGGTTGTCCCAATGCATGGTCTATAGATAAGATGTAGAGGCCTTTTTCAAGGGATTCGACATGCAAGAGTTCTTGAAAAGCCAAATCCTTTATACAAAATTTGTCGGGAAAAAATTCTATAGAGCAAGAGTTAGTATTTATGAAATTGCTCACAGAGAGTAAGTTTTAAATGCTAGAAGGAATGTGCAAAACATTATGAAGAGAAAATGCACGATTATATAATGTAAAAGATGTTGAACCAATATGAGATATGGGAATGAGTTTACCATCTGTTAAATAGACTTGTTCAAGACCACTGTACTCATTGTGAATAGCAAGGTCATCCAGTTGTGCTGTCAAATGGTGAGTAACGCCAGTGTCCATAATCCATTGTTGCTGTGGTTGGCATGACTATAAGGTTAGAGACTGGCTTGGTTTGAGTTCTGGAGGGGAGAGATTTTGGTGAGGGGCAGACATTGGCAAGGTGGCCAGTACCATTGTAGTTGTAGCATGTGATGGTGTTGGTGTCAGGCAACATATGTGGGGAAGAGTTGCTCCTGTAATGTGAGTTAGCAGTAGGAGGTGCCATTCCATGGCGTCCTTTACCACGGTTTGGGTTGTGACGATGGGTATAGTAGGCTATCATGGGTATATCAACATGATGGAGACTTCCCTATAGCTACAGTTGTTCACTAAGAGCAAGTCTGTATAAGGCTTCATAACTGATAGGTTCTTGCCGATACTCAATAGAGCAGACAAAAGGTCTGTAAAGGGAAATGAAGCCACGCATCAAAAGGACACCCAAACCAAGGATTGGAGTGTGTCAAACATGCCTTTTCCACGTTGGAAGAACAGTGGAATGGTCTCATTAGGCAGCTGAGTGAGCCTATACAGATTACATTGAAGATGATTGATCTGCATCCTTGTTCCAGTGCCACAAGCTACAGTCAGTTTTGTCCAGGGGGCTTATGCAGTAGCAGCGCCAACGACTAGAAGAAGCACTATTTCAGAGAGGGAGCTAATGATCCATATGAGTACTAACTGATCAGTGCATTCCCATTGAGTGAATAAAGGGTTTTATTCATGGTTGATAGTGCAGGGAGGTGGTTGTTGTGATTCATCTATGTGGTGCAACAAGCCATGGTAGCGTAACAATGGCTAGAACTGAGTTTTCCAAAGGATAAAGTTCGTGATGGTGAGTTTGAGAAGGAAATGAGTGTTTAGGCTTAGGAGAGGAGGAGTAGCCATGGAGGATGAAGTGCTGGCAACAAAAGCTAGAGAGGATGCTGAAGTTTAGTCCGTGTCTTCAATAGCCATGGAGTCTAAAGCAAAATAGAAAACTGATATACAAGAAAGATTTGTTTATGGAGCGCAGAAGCAGAAGCAACAAGGTTTACAACAGTAACTAAGAGTTTAGGAGTAGAAGGCTGTTAAGTCGATGCTAACAGGGAAGAAAAAAGAAAAAGGAAGATCTAGATGGTTAAGTCACCGTTAGCTCTGATACCATGATGAGGTTGTACTTCTCTATATATTGTGAAAGTATGTTACAGAGTATATATACAAGTATGATGATAAGCATGAAAGTAGTTGTAATGGTTTACAACTCTATCCCATGAAGCTAAAGTAACATAATATAACTCTATCATTATCCCTATAATTCTTATCCTTATCAACGTATAATTCATTCTTAAGGATATTTCTCATAATATTTTGGTTTTTCTACAATAGATCATGAGTACATTCAGCTTAAGAAAAATCCATCCCGGATTTGGGTAAATTTTTGTGTAATACCAAAATGATTATTATTAGAGTAATATAAAACTAATTTTACATATCATCCAATAGTTTAAATTTTCAAATTTATTATAATTTTTTGTTGGTATCAAAGTTTTAATAAGTAAATTATTTATGATTGAGATAGTTTTTGGACAATTGCTTTTAAAAAAATATCATGAATAAATACAAGAAAATAAATCAATATAAAAGATTGAGAATAAGACACCAATAACAAGAATAAAGTCTTTTGAGTGAAATTCAAACATATCTATTGATTTAATATGATATCAAATATTTGGAGAGGTCGAGCAATCCATCAAAGATTTTGGAACCCAAATTACTTGACAACACTAAAAGATAGATTTTAATTGAAGGAGAATGGTAAAAAACTATCTCACATTGAATAAATACAATCAAACAAATCAATACAAAATATTGATAACGAACCACTCACCATAAAATTAATTTTTTCAACGGTAACAAAACTCAAAAATTAAATTCAATAATTTTTAATAGATTGAAATACAGATTAAAGATAAAGTCATACGGTTGTTACGTAAGAAATGAAAAAAGTTAATTATAGAAACTAACTAGTTAAATTTGCAAAATAAGCTAGTTTAATGATGCAAAAAAGTCGACATCGAAACCATGTAAATAATGAACCTTGGTTTGGAATTTTGTGTGGGTGGTCATCTTAGATTGTCAAATCTACGTTTTAGGACTTGATCCTTTATGACCAAAATGTAATACTATTTTCTCTATAAATAGCCTTCCTTAATTTGATGCTATACATAGTCAAGCATAAAAGTATAGGTCTCTAGTTCATTTTGAAAAATGGAAACCCAAGCAAATTTAACAGCTAACACTAACGAGCAAAACAATTCTCGTCGAGTGGCAAAGTTTCCTCCAAGCTTGTGGGGTTGTAGCTTTGCTTCATTTTCCTTCCCTCAAACGGTATACTTCTTCTCTCTTAAATATGTATAATAGTTTGTTTGTTCCGTTTTTCTTTTTCTTTTTCTTTTTTATTAATGATGTTAAGTATTAAGAAAAAAGAAAACCAATAAGAACCATCTTTAAAAAATATGCATGAGCTATTTGATCAATAGAACTTCTATCAAAGAATATCTCAACTCAAAATTTAGACAAGACTCAAAAAATAGTTTTATATTATTTTTAAGATATTTTCTTAATAAAAATTTTTTGAGGTCGAAATTTATATACACTCACTACTATCTTATGATTAGTTTTTTAATTTAATTAAATAAAATGAGAATAATAAAATTTAAATTTATGATTATTTAATCAAAACTCATGATCATTTAATTAATAAAGATTTGATAATATATCACAGAAATATCTAATTCTAAGAGTTTAAATTATTAGACGAGGCTATTAAAATAGTTGTATATTATTCTTTTACAAAATTATAATCCAATGATTCACAATGTTCAATTAAAAAAAAAAAACTCTTATCGCTTCTCATTGCTATCTTCTTCTTCTTCTTCTTCTTCTTCTTCTTTTTTTTTTTTTTTTTTTTTTTTTTTTTTTAAACCATATTTTGTGTCGCCGTTCTTCTCACGTGCATATCAATGTTAAAATAGTTATATTTATGTCTAGCCATTACTTTTATTTTAAACAAAATCTCTGTGATCTGATTAAGTAAAGTTCTATAGAATATATTATCAATGGAGTAAGAAAAAAAAACACGTTGTGAATTACTCAATAATCTCAATTTATATTTAAGGTCATCCGGGACAAATTCAAATTTTTGAAGTTTTCATGTTCAAAATGTAAAACTTGTTCAACCATTGATTTTGAGTTGCAAGATGTTATCTGTTAAAATAAATAAATAAAGGCATGAACTATTTATATATAAAAAGAAATATTCCTGACCACGTAAGAGGGAGAGGAGAGGAAAAAAAAAAAAACCGACGAAGTAATTTTATTTGTAGAGTTGATTTAACAGCAAATATGTGAGTCGATTTTTACTCACTCAATATTTTACTGCAGGAATTCGAGACATACACCCGAGAAGTAGAAGTGCTGAAGGAAAATGTAAAGGACATGTTAATGGCTTCCAAAAACGACCCAGCGGAAAATATTCAGTTCATCAATTTGTTATGTCGCCTTGGTGTTTCATATCATTTTGAAAAAGAGATTGAAACCAACCTAAAACAAAATTTCCATGACTTCCCAAATCTTCTGAAGAATCATGACTATGACCTCTACACTGTGTCCATCCTATTTCGAGTATTCAGACAACATGGATACAAAATGCCTTGTGGTGAGTGCCTAAACTTTATAGTCTTTTATACGTCAATGTTTCTTCTTTCTCTCTTTTTTTTTTTTCCTATGGGATCCACCGAAGAAGATCCTTCTTCTTCCTTCTTTTTAGAAGAAAAGAAAAATTCTGACAGAATCGACGAAGCGGAAGAGATCTGAATAAATGAAAAGAAAAAACATAATAATAAAGAATATTGATTTATTGAAGAGACGTCCTATAAAAATAAAACCTTATTCCACCATACAATGGGGTAACTCTCCTGCATTAGATTAGGTAATTATTGAAGATATCTATCAGATACATGACAGCTAGGATAAGTCTATTTGTACAACAATAATGCCTTTATCCCTTTATAATATTAATCTTTTGTGTTCTTAATTATCTAAAGATTTTAGAAAAAAGTATATGAGTCCTACATTTTTTTTCAATGACCAGAAAAATAATATGTTAGTAGCAGAATATTTCTGAAACGAAAAATTCATCACTCATAATCCACACATAGCTTTTGAAAATTGGCTTATGTGGGTTTGTAACCTTTTATGAATCAGCTGTGTTCGACAAGTTCAAGGGCACCAATGGAGAGTTTAAGGAAACCATTATCAACGATGTGAAAGGCATCCTTGGCTTGTATGAAGCTTCATTTTTAAGTTTGCACGGAGAAGATATTCTGGATGAAGCCCTTGCATTCACTAGGGAAAACCTGAAGTCCTTGGCTATGCAATCAAGCCCACATCTTGCAAACCATATTAGGAATGCTTTGGTCCGGCCCTTCCACAAAGGCGTACCAAGAATTGAGGCTAAAAAATACATCTCTTTCTACGAAGAAGAAGAGTCTCGGAACGATACTCTACTCAAGTTTGCCAAGATAGACTTCAATAGAGTTCAGTTACTTCATCGACAGGAACTTTGTATTCTCTCGAGGTAATTTTTTGTGTGAGTTTGAGGATGATACCTGAAAATGGAGGCAGGCCACCCATTAATCAGATTAAGTTTTTGTTGGAAATTAACATTTCAGGTGGTGGAATGATTTAAATTTAGCTGAAGAGCTTCCTTATGCAAGAGATAGACTTGTGGAGATCTACTTCTGGGCAAATGGAACCCATTTCGAGCCTCAGTATGCTTTTTCTCGGATGATGGTCACGAAATATACAAAGTTTGCATCACTAGTAGATGATACATATGATGCTTATGCAACTTTTGAAGAAGTCCAGAAGTTTACAAATGCAATGGATAGGTTTAGTTTCTTTCTTTTCTACATTTTTCTTAAACATAAAAATTCAATTAAATCGTACAAAGATGTTCAAGAAAGGATAAATGATTTTCTTGTTAAATTTCAGATGCTGCACGGATGCCATTGATCAGCTACCCGCAGATTACATGAAAGTTCTTTACAGAGCTATTTTGAATCTTTTCAAAGAAACTGAGAATGATTTGAGCAAGCAAGGAAGATCCTATGCCGCATATTATGTGAAGGAGGAAGTAAGATTTTCATACTCTATCGGCATTGTATATTTATTGAAATTAATATTGCTTATTTTTTATCACACAATCTTGGTTTTGCTGGTATGCTATTAGTTCAAAGATTTGGTGAGAGCCTACCGTGTAGAGGCGCAATGGGCAGCTAAAGGCCAAGTCCCAACATTCGATGAGTACATACGGAATGGATTAACCACAACTGTTTATGGGGTAATTATGGCAGCATCCTTCCTTGGGATGGAAGAAGTTGCAGGAGTGGAGGAATATGAACGGCTAAAAAGTAATCAAAAAATTGTTAGAGCTGGAAAGATGATCGGTCGTTTAATGAATGACATAGTAGGCCACGAGGTATGATGCCTATAAATTTCAATTGTTTTCAACCATGGCTCAACTCATGAGTATCCTTGTGTTTCTTCCCAATTTTTATTAGTTTTGGATTTGTAGTCATGTTAAGTTTTGTTAGAGAACATAACTCATATTTAATAGTTAAACAAAAAAATGAGTAATTTGTACAATTGAAAAAAAAAAAAACTCCCACCATAAAACTTAAGTTTTTTAGATGAAACTCAATCTCAACTATCTAATTTTATAAAATATAGCTTCAAAAAGGCCCAATGGCTTAGTAAAAATCTTAGAGGCCAAGCCACTTTACTGATTTCAAAATATTGACTACAAGTTAGGAGGAGTGTTAAAGTAACATATCTAATATTGAATAGCTAAACAAAAAAAATAATAAATATATAAGTTTGAGAATGAGTCACCTACCATAGAGCTTAAGTTTTTTTTTTTTTTTAAATAAAATCTAATCTCAACTATCTAACTCTATACGAGTTTTTTTTATTCATTATAACATCTAGTATATATTTGCGAGCCGAACAAGAGAGAGGAGATCGTGCATCCGGTGTCGAATGCTACATGAAACAATATGATGTCTCGGAAAAAGAAGCAATTGAAGTGATACAAAAGATAGATGCAAATGCATAGAAAGATATTAACGAAGATTGCATGAGGCCAACTAGTGTCCCCATGCTTCTCCTTCAACATTTTGTCAACCTTATTCGAGTAACCGATGTTATGTACGGGGATGGTGATGATGCATACACAATTCCCACAAGTTTGAAAGATTATTGCACCTCACTCGTATCTCGAGCAAGTATCCATGTGAGAAAAATATTAGTCTTCAAGTTGTGCTCTTGATTGAACTCTCTATTAATGTTTGTAGAAAAATCAACTCTCTATTAATATTTGCGGAATGTTTTGTAATAAAGCGAGTTGGTGACTCGTGAACCTTAAAAATAGGAAGATAGACTATAAGTTTGTGTAGTTTGAGCGGGACCGTGTATTTCTTGGTTAGAATAAAAACTTGTATAATTAATGCTTTTGATTTAATAAATGCTTTTGTTATTGTTATGTTTAATGTGATGTCAAGATAGACTTCAAAAAAGAAAAGAAAGAAAGAAACTCCCGTGATTTCCAGGCTTATCGATTGCTTGTGTAAGTGGTCTCTAAATCACTTTCTCGACTAAGTGGAAGTTTCAAATTTGATTGCTCAATTATTAATTGTGAGTGTTTAAGGTTTGTTGGTTAATTTTGATTTCTCAATATATTTTTATCGAAATCATTAAAACAAATAAATAAATAATTAAAGGATATGCTTACTTATGAATCATTAAAATAAACAAATAAAGGATATGCTTACTTACGAATGGAAGCAAAGTATTTTGCTTGATTTTTACTTAATTGTTTTACAACATTTTTACTAAAATTCAACTCAATTTCGACCATCAACTAACATATTTTTCATAACCAAAATTTCTTCATATTTTTTTTTGTTTTATTTGTTACTTATTTTTATTTTATTTTATCTCATTTTATTTTATTTTTGGAATCTACTACAAAAAAAAAAAAAAAAAGTTGAGGAGATGACTCATCCTCTAATCCTAAAAATCCCTATATAAGTAACCTTTATCCTTAATTTTGAGACCAAGCCTCCACAATTTTCTCCATCTCCTAAAAAAACCTAAACATGTAGTTTTGCAAAAACAAACCTAGCCACTTTTATCGTAAAAGGATGGTCGTCATAGCTCTTCAAAAGACATCATCTTCATCCCTCCTCCAAGCCTCTACAAAACCAATTCACCTAATCAAACACCCTTACTTTCATCATCTTCTTCCCACGGTGCCTCCTCATTAGCCACCTCCCACGCCATCTTCACCCAATTCAGCTCCTCCATGACAAGCAGCTCCAAGCCACCTTACAAGCCCAAATCCATCCAATTGAATCCACTTCCTCTACTCGGCCAAAACACATGCTAAAAGCCTCCTCCTTTATAAAGCCACACAAAACCACCACAACTCCCTCTCTCTTTTCCTTTATCAATAACGAAAAGAACGAAACAACGGAATATGTTGTCTAAACCCAACAAAGAAACATGGCAAATTCCTCTTCTTTCAACAACCATACACTAGATTTCTCTCTACCACTTGCCATTAACCTCTATCAAAACAGCAACTCGCCATAAAGTTCTAATCGAACCCCTCATTACTTCCTCTCCTACTCCTCCACTATCCTCACCACCAATGGGTGCACCTCATCACCACTAACCAAGCCTCATCTCGGCCATCAACTATCATACCAAAAGGTGGATACCAAAAAGAGCTATCATAGCCCTTCTAAGCCATAAGGTCACCCTAGCTGAATACAAGCCCTCACCAAGCTTCACCCACTCGAGCAGCTGCCTCTCCACTATTGACCAAAGCCATCGTCTTTATCCTTCACAATCACACAACCAAACAGACCACCTTCTTCATTTTCAACACCATCACAAAAAAAAAAAAAAAATCCTTCATAGCCATTTCAAGACTGGTCAAAACCCCCATCTAGACTTACTTTCATGGCTGCCTTATATCTTGCAAAAATCCATATAGAAATAGACACTCACCTGTAGTCCCTAACCATGGTTTCCCCTCTTCCTTTCACTACCCAAAAATCACACATTAACCTTTACCCATCCCTCTCGTCTTCACCCCAATTATCACCCCATATTGACATCAAGCACAACCGTAATCCTTCCTACCAGCCACAAGACCACCACGACCCACACCCATAGTCTCATAGCCTCTCGCCTATCTCGACCACCGGAGGATCGCTACTAATAACCACACTTCTCTCGCCCTTTAGCCCCGCTCCGAAACCATTGCAACAATAGCCGCTACTCGCATCACCTTCTCTGCATCTACCTCTCATAAGCAAAAAACACGAACACATAGCATGCTTACCTCCTAAAAAGATAATCCCCCACACCCAAATGCTCAATAAACCACTACCAAGCATCAACCCTCTCCTTCATCAACGCCCATGGGCCGGCGACCCTACAAACCCTTTCCACCATTACCATAAAATCACGATCCGGTTTCTCTCTCAAACTCTCAATCTAGTTACCACAAAAAACATCACCTCAATAACCATCTCCAAACAACCTCTACATCAATCTCAAACGCTACCAACAAATGACCCCCAAAACACTTATTATAAACTCAACCTCATAAACATCGAACCACTCTATCCGAATAATTGAGCTCCTCACTTGAAAGACCCAACTACTCGTTAGCCCATTCCCCTCTCCCTCATAGTATCTTGAGCAAGTACCCATGTAAGAAAAATATTAGTCTTCGGGTTGTGCTCTTAATTGACCTCTCTATCAATGTTTGTAGAAAAATCAACTCTCTATTAATGTTTGCATAATGTTTTGTAATAAAATGAGCTAGTGACTCATGAACCTAAAAGCTGGGAAGATAGACTATAAGTTTGTATAGTTGGAGTCGGTCCGCGTATTTCTTTATTGGAATACAAACTTGTATAATTAATGTTTTTGATTTAATAAATGTTTTTGTTATTATTATGTTTAATATGATGCCAAGATAGAATGAAAAAAAAAAAAAACCTAATTGAGCTAAGATTTTTGGATATATGAGTTAAAAGAAAAAAATTCATATGATTTCCATGCTTATCGCTTACTTGCATAAGTGGTGATCGAATCACTTTCTTAGCTAAGTGGAAGTTTGATTTGATTGCTTAATGATTAATTGTGATCTGTTGAAGGTTTTATTTGTTAATTTTGATTTCTCACTTTTTTAAAATATTTTTTACAATAAATGATAAAAAAATAAAAAAAATAAAGGATATGCTTATTTACGAATGGAAGCAACATATTTTGTTTGATTTTTACTAAGAACAACGAAATAAGATGGAATGGATCGAAATGAATGAGTTTTTTAATTCACCTTTTCAATACTAAATCGGCATTTTGCTTATTTATTCCATGCATTCATTATCTTTTTAGAAGTTATTTAATTATTTTATATTATTTTTGATTAAAATTCAGCTCAATTTATGACCATCAACTAACATATTCATAACTCGTTATGACAACAATAGAAATAAGACAAGTAATAACGAGATAATAATTAAAAGATAATGCTAAACAAATTATCAACACATAGGATTTACATAGTTTGGCAAATTGCCTACTCCACGAGTGAGAGGGAAGTTTTATTAGCTTGATAATAGGAGAATACAAGAACCCTAGAAGCTCTATACAAAGTCTCTATCTTTCACTCTATTTTTCAAATAAAGACATAAAGAGGTTTAAATACCTTATACCTATAAAGGAAAAAAACTAATGGGCTAAATATATTATTAGCCCATAAAATTCAAGCCATATATTGTAAATCTCTAGCTTGACTTGAATTCTATAAACCTTTAAGAATGTCAAATAATTCCTCAAAACACGCTTCTAAGCTTACGTGACCTACCTCGGTGTAAGAAACAAGAGATGTGAAGAGAAAAAATATTGACTTCAACATTAGGATTAACAAATTCCTCTCTCCAACAAAATCCCAATATGCATAGACAAATGCTCAAGGCACACGGGCACAAGACAAGCGCTTCACATGGGTAAAAGCATGAAGCATGGGAGAGAGAAGAAAACTCACACGATTGTGTCTCTCTCCTTCACATGATCAAGCCTCTCTTTTCAGCAATAAACTTTGATTTTCTTAGCACCACTCGAGTCCAAACAATGCATGAACTTATTTGTAATAACAAGTTTAGTTAACATATCAACTTGGATTGTCTTTAGTATGAACTTTCTTCACTACAATCTTCTTGTTAGAAACTCGCTTTACGAATGAAATGATACCCGATATCAATATACTTGGTCCTCTCGTGATGTGCTTGATTTTTAGTTAAGTATATAACATTCTGATTGTCACAAAAGATAACAAAATTTTCTTCTTGTTGAAGACTAAGTTCCTCTACAAGATTTCTCAACCAAATAGCCTCTTTCATGACCTTAGCTATCGCCATATATTCTACTTAAGTAGTCGATAAAGCAACCGTCAACCGTAATGTTGATCTCTAACTAATATTAGAACCTAAAAGTTTAAAGATATATCTTGTCAAAGATCTCCTTTTATCGAGATCACTTGTATAGTTGAATCCGTAAAGCCTACAACGAAGTTTCGAAGCGCTAACCCTTTCAAAGACTAAACCCAAGTCCGTGGTACCTTTGAGATATCTTAAATCCACTTCACTCGCTTACCAATTTATCTTTCCCGGGTGAGCTATATATCTACTCATAATAATGATTGCTTAGGTAATATCTAGACGAATGCAAATCATAGCATATATTATGCTACCTACCGTACTAGAATATAAAACTCGTGACATTTCCTTCTCTTCTTCTTCATTCCGAGGTGACTGAGAAGCCAAAAGTTTGAAGTGAGTAGCCAATGGAGTATTGATAGGTTTGGCATTACGTATATCAAAGCGCTCAAGCACTTCTCAATATATCCTTTCTATGAAAGAAATAATTTTTCATCCTTTCGGTCTCTATGAATCTTCATACCTAAGATCTTCTTCGATGTTCTAAGATCTTTCATCTTAAACTCATCATTGAGTTGTTTCTTTAGTAGTTAAATTTTTGACATACTCTTGGCAGTAATAAGTATGTCATCCACATATAGTAAGAGATATATAAAAGATCCATCTACCAACTCGTCTAAAATACACACAATTATCATAAGTAGATCTTGAATAACCATGATTAAACATAAAACTCGTCAAACTTGTTGTACCATCGCCTTGATGATTTTTTTTAGGCCGTATAAAGATTTCTTCAATTTACAAGCATAGTCTTTTTTCCTTCCACAAAGTATCCTTGTGCTTAAGACAGATAAATAGTCTCCTCAAGCTCTCCATACGTAAACGTTATTTTCATATCAAGTTGTTGGAGCTTTAAATCAAATTAAGTCACCATAGCAAACAACACATGAATAATGGTAAGTTTCACAACCGAAGAAAATACTTCATTGTAATCTATTCTCTCCTTCGATTATAACCCTTAGCCATCAATCATGCCTTGAATCTAGCATTTTCAATACCTAGTATTCCTGTCTTCTTTTTATAGACCCATTTGTATCCAATGACTCTATTACCTTTACGTAATTTTATCAAATTCCAAGTTTGATTTTTATATAGTGACTTGAGTTCTTCATCATTGCAACGACCCACCGACTAAACTCTTCACAAATCACTCGCTCTATATAGTTAGAAGGCTCTTGAATACCCATTTTCTCAACTCTAGTGAGGGCATATGCTACTAGATCGGTATAAGCATATCTTTAAGGAGGTCTTATCTGTTTCCTCTCTCGCCGATAGCTATTGAGTAAGACTGTTCGGATTGTATGGCATCTTCATTCATATCCGAATCTTGTTGCATATCCGTAACTATACCGGATACATCCGGAGATGTTTTTTAAAAGTCTTTCTTTTAAAGTCCACTTAAAGCTCCACCTTATCCGTGGCTTTCTCACTTTTTCCCGTAGACTCACAAACAACCTTTTCTTGATCAAGCATATATTTCTCATTAAAAGTAACATCTTTATTAATAATGAATTTAAATGAATTAGGTTCAAGGCACCATTGACAATAACCTTTCAGCTCATCAACGATAGCCAACAAATACACATTTCTTTGCTCTAGGTTCAAGTTTACCATCTTTAACATGATAATACGTAGGGCATCCAAATACTTTTAAATTTGAATAATCACTAAGTTTACCTAACCCTATCTCGTTTGGAGTCTTACAATCAATGACGAGTAAAGGGAGAATGATTAACAAGATAACAAGTCGTGTTAACTCGCTTTAGCCTAGAAATCTTTCTCCAAACCCGAATTAGAGAGCATACATCTAGTTGTCTCCAACAAAGTCCTATTCATGCGCTTTGCCACCCTATTTTTCTAAGAAGTGTGTCTAACTCGTGTCAATGTTGGACAATCCAAGAGTTTGTATAAAACTTATTAAAATTTCCACCATAGAATTCCGAGCCATTATCCGTTTGATGACGTTTAACCTTTTTTCCTATTTGATTCTCTACTAGAAATTTCTATTATTTGAATGTTTTGAAAACATCACTCTTATATTTGAGAAAATAAACCCAAACTTTCCAAGAGTAATCATCGATAGTTATCAAAAAATAAAGTGCACTACCTTTGGATGGAACCCGAGTCGGCCCCATAAATCTGAATGAAGGTAATCAAGTGTGCTCTTTGTAGAATAAGTGCCAATAGAGAACTACACTCTAGTTTGCTTTCCTAAAACACAATGCTCATAGAAATCAAGTGATGTCATTTGATCAAAACAAAGTAAACCACGTTTACTCGGAGTAGTCATACCTCTCTTACTTATGTGGCCTAAACGCATATGCACAATTGAGTCTTTTTCTTTTCGGATTAGGAAGTAATCATCCTTGCAAAGCTTGTTATTGTACTACCTTGTAACATATAAAGACGATTAATCGAATTGCTTTCATCACAACTAAAGAACCCTTAGAAGCCTTAAGAATTCCATTTTTACCAAAGTAGCTATAACCTTTCGAATCTAGATAGCTTAAAGAAATTAGATTCTTTTTCAAATCTGATATATTTCTCACTTTCGTCAAAATTCACACAATCAAATCATGATACTCGATACAAATTATACCAATATCGGTCATCTCACGAGCTGAATTATTGCCCATCGAACAAAGCCATCATTTATAAGTTC